CTTATGTTTGCCATATAGGACTTCATTAACTCTCAAGTAAGTACATGAACATCATTTTCTAATGAAAGAAACAGTAGCTTAATCACAATACAAACTGAGTCATTAAGGAGAAAGGAATAGGATATTAGCACAATCTACTTACCTAATTGCATGCAAATACTGCTATATATTACTTATTGTTCCCATTTACTAGTATATGTGATATGTTAAATGCAGTTGAACTAAAATATGTGAAATACTCCACTTAATACTCACATTGAATTATATCCTTTCATATCAATTCAGTTGAACATAAAAAGGGAATGCATGAAATGATTACCTAACAGGTAAGATATTAAAATAAAAATTGCAAATAATGCTTGCTATTTTTATAAGAAAACCTAGGATTCCCTGTAAAATGATGTATTAATTTAATAAGATGAGCTAAAAGGGCACACTTTGAGAGCACACATTACAGAAATATATTGGTGTATGAATAGTCAGAAATGCAGAAAAACTATCTGGTAACTGGAGTAGATTTGTACTAGATTCAAATACAGTTGCAAACAGGCAAACAAAATTCTCAGAGTAATCGCAACAAATAAAACAGTTCATGTAAAATCAGGACTTCTGCTATAAAGAATGACAAGTAAAAAGGAGCAAGGGGGAAAGAGAATAGATAAGGAATAAAACTACATAAAATAAGCTGTTAAATCAGCTTAATCTTTTTTTTTACTTCAGGCCAAATTAATCACTTATTATGACCTTGTTAAAAATGTCAAAAAAACCCATAGGTATGACAGGGAAGAATAGTTCCTAGGATATATTTCCACATACAAAATTAGATATTTTTTTAAATAGACAAATGCGCTAAACCTAATGGAGCTTTGCAAATACAAGTTAAATGCCATATGCATGACTATCAGCGATCAACTGTGAGCTACAACTAGCTATATACGTGAATCAAGATTCGTTTAAGTGACACAATGTTGCTTAGCTACAGAAGAAGTTTCCTCAAAAAGTGAGGTCTTCTATCTACTACAAGACTCTGGAGGCCACATCACAGGTACAAGGGGGACACATGGAAGTAGACACTTCAGGATTTAGGGCTCTGCAACAAACCAGGCAGTAAATCAGCTCATCAGCTGAAACCCTCTTGACTTTCTATAGGAGTGTGCAGATGCTGCCAGGGACAATGACAGAGGAGCTTGTAGATAATCATTGTCAGAGAGTCACAGATCTAAACCATATTTCTTTCAGGTCCAGGAGAAGAGACAACACAATAAGTAGGCACAAAAACTGTCATCAAACAGGTCACTTTTTTAAACATTAAAACTTTTCTAGTATCTTTAGATCCACAGCCCATAACACAGTTGATTCATTAGACTGCTTCTTACAGAAGAAACATAAAAATCTTACCCATGAATTTAGCATGCTTTCTTGTCTTAATTAGGAGTGATGGAGCCCGCAAACTTCAACCATTTCCTGAGCATATGTGTAGTATTCTAGTATCAAGCCCTTCATCAAATCAGAGATATTCCTTTAATTTTGTATTAATCATGTGATTGCTCTTTCTGTCCATTTAATGTTCATGGCCATCTTCATCAATGGCTGAAACTGTTCAGCTGAAAAGTTAATCTCAATAAATTAGAAGTATTTTTTAGCCTTGAAAGCCCAATCCTACCTTCATCAAAGTCTGGCAAGTCTGTTCTTAGTTAGCACTGACACCATATGCAACTCCTCATCTGTCACAGTATAATGCCACAGTGCTGTTGCTCATTCTGTCACTCCTAAGATGTGTGTACGTGTGTTGGCTGGCTTTATTTAAGAATACATGGACTTAGCAGTGAACACAGCATTGTTCAGAAAATTTTCTTAAACTACAGATGCAAAATTCTGGACTTGAACTGTGAGGATGATCTAGTCACATCCTGTAGCTCGAGTTATTCTGTTGGTATAAGAATTATTAAGATGGTAGACAGAAAACTTGCTGTTGTCTCATATAAAAAACATGTCACTTCTGAAAGTTATTACAGCACATATGCAGATCTACTGGACATTGGGGTAGCTCCAGTGGCCTCGGGATATAGCAGGGCATGCTGACTATGTCCAATCCCGTGCGGTGAAACTGGGTCCTGATTGTAGAAAAGTCTTCAAATTCTTCTGACAGAAGACCAGGAGTTCTTGTTATAGCACCAAGCTGGGGGTCAAACCCCTTGTGTTCTTCTCTTGCTTATTATGTTAACTCAGGAAAGGTTCTTTTTCTCTCTGCACCAATTTCCCTCTGTTTACCCTGTAAGTCACTCACACCAATTGCAAAGCACCCTGATCCAAGAATCTAGTCTTGGTTATGGCCTCTAAGCTCTACTATAAAACAAAAAAATAATAGGAGACAATAAGAATATTTTAGAAATTCCAGATATGAATCTCAAGGTAGACACAAATGCCTATGCAAACACAGACATATTTTCTAATGACTCATCTCCAAATGCACCCTACCCAGCTGTGCAGTTCTAGTCCCCCAGCTACATAACTAACTTCATATAGCTCAACTCTGGGTGCAGTCCAGTGAACCAAAGGTGATGAAGGGAATAAAGAATTTATTAGTTCAGGTCTGTAATTGCCCTAATTCAGGTACCAGGCTACACATCCAGGCTTTATCCAGCCAACTTACAGCAAAGTGGAATTGGTGGCACAGCTGTCTGCCTCCCTCTGTTTAGACCTACCTATAGTCCTTTTCCAGGAGCTTGATGAGATCAGGGAACCTGGCATTACAATTCCCTCATGCAGCTATGGCCAAGCTGTTTGTAGCCAGTTTAAGGTTCATTTATACTGCCAACACAACTTGGAATCAAGTGCTTAGTGCCTTCATTCGTAATTATTGAAAAGGAAGGCTGAGGGGTTGGAAATATAGTTCAATTCAAATCACATATGTCATCTAACCAGGATAATTTTAGGAAGATACAACTTTCCTATACATATTCAAACGCCTTTTCATTGAACACACTGTAAGTATTAATTATCTGTATTGTAGCTGTTAAAGAGGCTACATTTTAAACAATTTACAGGGATATCTTATGAACTTCAGCTGAAGAAAAAAATTACACAAAGTTTAATTTCACAAAGGCGATGGGGAAAAGTAGGGAAAAAGAGTACAGCTACCTCAGGTTAAAGTACAGTGCTTCAATACTAAACAAAATACATTTCAAGAGCAAACATTCCCCACCTGTAAAACACACTGGGAGTAGAACAGATGGCTTTCTATCCATATTCACTTTCTGGAAAGTCATTTGACTGCTTCTGTTGCTGAGCTTCTAGAAAAACAACTTTCCTTCTTAATTTAATTCCATAGTCCAAACTAGCTTTTTGTCAGTTCACTGTCTGGGTGAAACATAAGTTTGCAAATCACAATAATGCAGTCTCTATTTAGCAGGTCTTCACTCTAGCTCGTGTTCGTTATATTCTGGCCTGTGTCTGTGAACATACCTTTGGAAAAGTCATATTGCATTAAGGTAGACATGAAAGCAAAACATTAGGTTCAAAAAAAACGCTACTATCAACTTAATGATTGGAACTGCTTGAACATTTTCAAGGAATCAATTAACATTTTGAAAAATCTTTTCTTCCATTCAAAGTGTGTTTTGTACTGCATAAAATTTTATCCTGGCATCCTACCAAGCACTGTAGTGGACTCTGATCTATAAATGACGTCTTAGATGACCCTCATACACAGCTCCTACTTGAACAGACCTTGCAGTTTGGCATCCACTGCATTGTCTGGAGAGAGGTTCTAGAAACATGACACACTGCAATTGGTGACAGCTCATTCTGGCAGAATATTCCAGCCTTTATTTTGTTTTTATTAGGACTACAAAATCATTTGGATTAAATGTAAAACTTTATAAGCATAAAAATCTTGCTTTGAAAAATGAAGTGAAGGTCAAAGAAAGCGTATTCCCCCTGAAAAAGGTAAAAGAAAACATACCCCCATTGACGAGCAAGACTGGCAAACTGGTGACAACGGACAAGGAGAAGGCTGAGGTACTCAAGAACCTCTTTGCCTCAATCTTCACTGGCAGTCTCTCTTCCCACACCTCTCGAGTGGATGGACTGCAATACGGGAACTGGAGGAGCAATGTCCCTCACACTGTAAGAGAAGATCAGGTTTGTGACCACCTGAGGAACCTGAACATGCACAAGTCTATGGAACCTGATGAGATGCATCCCAGATCCTGAGGGCATTGGCTGATGTAGTTGCCAAGCCACTCTCATTGATATTGGAAGAGTCCTGGCAGTCAGGTGAAGTCCCTGGAGACTGAAAAAGGGAAACATTGCACCCATTTTTAAAAAGGGTAGCAAGGAGGACCCTGGGAACTACTGACCTGTCAGCGTCACTTCTGTGCCTGGGAAGATCATGGAACAGATCCTCCTAGAAGCTGTGCTAAGGCACAAGGAGGACAGGGAGGTTATTTGAGACATGACTTCACCAAGGGCAAGTGCTGCCTGACCAACCTAGTGGCCTTCTGTGATGTGAGTGACCACATCAGTGGACAAGGGAAGAGCTATGGATGTTGCCTATCTAGACTTCTGTAAGGCCTTTGACACAGTCCCCTACAACATCCTTCCCTCTAAATTGGACAGAGATGGATTTGATGGGTGGACTGTTGGGTGGATGAGGAATTGGTTGGATGGTTGCACCCAGAGAGTAGTCGTCAATGGTTCAATGTCCAGATGGAGATCGGTGATGAGTGGTGTCCCTCAGGGTTCCCAATTCAGACCAGTACTGTTTAGTATCTTCATCAATGACATAGACAGTGGGATTGAGTGCACCCTCAGCAAGTTAGCAGCCGACACCAAACTGAGTGGTACAGTTGACACGCCTGAGGGACGGGATGACATCCAGAGGGACCTGGACAAGCTCAAGGAATGGGCCTTTGTGAACCTCGTAAGGTTGAACAAGGCCAAGTGCAGGGTCCTGCACCTGGGTCGGGGCAACCCTCAGTATCAACACAGACTTGGGAATGAAGGGGATTGAGAGCAGCCCTGCTGAGAAGGACTTGGGGGTTCTGGAGGACGAAAAGCTGGCCATGAGCTGGCAACGTGCACTCACAGTCCAGAAGGCCAACTGTATCCTGGGCTGCATCCAAAAAAGTGTGGCCAGCAGGTCGAGGGAGGGGATTCTGCCCCTCTGCTTTACTGAGACCCCGCCTGGAGTCCTGCATCCAGCTCTGGAGCCCTCAGCACAGGAAAGACATGGATCTGTTGGAGCAGGTCCAGAGGAGGCCACAGAAATGATCAGAGGGATGGAATACCTCTCTTATGAGGACTGGCTGGGAGAGTTGTGGTTATTCAGCCTGGAGAAGAGAAGGCTCTGAGGAGACCTTATTGTGGCCTCTCAGTACTTGAAGGGGGCTTAAAAGAATGATGGGGACAGACTTTTTAGCACGACCTGTTCTAACAGGACAAGGGGTGATAGTTTTAAACTAAAAGAGGGTAGATTCAGACTACATCTGAGGAAGAAATTGTTTACAATGAGGATGGTGAAACTGGCACAGGTTGCCCAGAGAGGTGGGCAACCTGCTTTAGTTGAAGACATCCTTGCTCACTGCAGGGGGTTGGATTAGATGACCTTTAAAGGTCCCTTCCAACCCAAACTATTCTATGATTCTATGAAAAAGACACTGCATATATATATTCCAGATATTCCATAACAGGCATTGATATAAACTAGGCCATAAAGAGCACGACAAAATGAATTCTAACTCTACCATAAGCACAGTGTTTTGGCCTGTGTCATTAATTTATAGAAAAATGTTAAAAAAATTTAAAAAGAAGAAAAAATTTAGTTTGTTCAGCACTTTAGATGGAAAGCTTGCTGTGGCCTTCAGCACAAGAAGGATTTTAGCCTGATTTGCTTTGATGCTGACTTCTGGATCTCAGTCACAGCCCACTCACAGCTGCCCACAGAACACATGCCTCTAGGCCCAGTATGGATACTCAAGGCAATCAAAACAAGGATGGAACAAACACGGGCAAGTACTGTCCTCTCCTCTGCTTCTTCCAAAGCTGGGCACAGATACGTTAGTGGCCAAGGGGATGCTGTTGTTACTGAGGGTGCATGATTTTTTTCCCTTATCTTATCGTACGGTACACTAAATATTAGAGAGTAATTAATATAGAGGTTTGTATAAAAGTTCATAAAGATCTGCCTGTGTTGGTGTTGCTGTAGAGTAAGCTCTAAGTGTTACCTACTTGGAATTTGCTTTTTTTTCAGATAGGGGAGAGCTTGTACATTATACCACATTCTGAATTCTTTTGCCAGTTCAAACATACTCAATTTAACTTAAAAGTTTTGAATTTTAAATTCAGTACATCTAACTCAATTTTTATTTTAAAAGCTGTTGGTGTCTCTTTTCCCTTCAGGCATACTCCATGGAGAGATGATGAATGGTACATGCGCTATTTTAATTTGCCACAGAAATCCTAAGCTGGAGTGGTACTGTTATTTGCTGATTCTGCTTTGCCTTTTCACCTTATTAGCAGGATTTCTTGGCAATATACTTGCACTACGACATTATGTGTACTGCATGAAGACATGGACTACCAATACTATATTTCTATTTAATTTGGCACTGTGTGACTTTACTTGGACTCTCGTGGCACCTTTTTCAGTATATTATAATCTCCGGAAGTTAGCTGTCTATTCCAGCCAAGCATTTTATCAAATCATAGGACTATTTTTTAGTATTAATATCTATGGAAGTGTCTATTTCCTGACACTCATCAGTTTTGACAGATATGTAGGTGCTGTCCATCCTATTGCTTCATTAACATGGTGGGACAAAGGAAAGGCCGTGTTTTGTACCATCGCAGTATGGATCTTCATAGTGATTGCATCGACACCAGAGATCTACTACACAGTTGCAGCTAGAAGACAACATGACATCATAGATTCCCTGGACAGCACTGAAGGACCTTTACAATTGGCAGTGCCATTCACACTCTCCAAGATCGTACTGAGATTCCTAATTCCAGTCACAGTCATCTTTACATGCTATATGTTGACTCTCAAAGCATTACTACAACTCAGTAAACGTCAGCAAAGAAGGAACAGATTTGTTAGGCCTCTGCTACTGATTTCAGCTGCTATGATTGTATTTGCTGTTTCTTTCACACCTTATCATGTTATGATGATAGTGATACTAATTTATAGAATGAATTGCCAACCGCCCTGTGGGAACATAAGCACATTAAGTGCCATTTATAAAGTCACAGAGATCATCTGCAGCATCAATAGTTGCCTTGACCCAATCATTTTTACGGTAGCAAATAAGACATTCTATCAAAGAATTAAAACTATAAAATGTCATCCCAAATGCCAGTGTTGCTGTTGTCTGACAGGAAGGGTAAGGGACATTATTCTGTCCCCAAGAGCAATGACTTAAACACCAGTTTACAAAGACATGCATCTCTCCCTGCCTGTCTGGCTTTGTGTCAGACTCATTTAAAATTTAGTATCCTGTGTTGTATAGCAATCTCTTGAGTAAGCAAGAATAACAGCAATGCAGAGTAAAACTTAATGTGTACATCAACTAGAAAAGAAACACTAGCAACTCCTAGCTTTACAGAACCAGCATTTTAAATATTCTTGTCATAAACATAACTTAATTGATTATGAAACAGCACTCCTTGCCTGTATGTATGTGCCACATGGAATGAACAATGAAGAAAAGTTCTAAGTAGCTACTTCAATTCTTGGTCAGAAAAATACAGAAAGATTAAGAGCACACAGTGTTGAGGAGCCTTCTTATAGTTTCTGTTAATTGTTTTTTCATCTATTTGTAAGTGCTGCTGGGATTGGACTGTGCAATTAATAACAATCACGATGCTCACAGTTGAACTTCTCAAGCACTTGCAGAGAGGCTTTTTACAAGTACTTCATTTTAATGCTGCTTGCACTAGAGTTCCACTGACACTGCCAGTGGAACCTCAGTAACCCGGCTAAGTACAGCACATTTCCCAAACCGAACTAACAAAATCCAAATAGTTAGATAAAGTCCCTGAGGACAGTCAGGGCCAGAGCAAATCTGCTCATGAAGCAAATGAGCGTGGATTGAAGAGCTCTAAGTCTTCCCCCAGGCAGCGGTGGTTCCATACCGATAGGCAGGACACACTGGTGGTGTCCCCCACACTCTGTGCAATTACGGCTGTTTCTCATAAATGTTCTTCTTCAGGGGAGTGTGTTGTTCTGCCATGAACTCTAAACTCATCAACAGGGAGACGCGTGCACAGGAAAAGTTCTGAAATATAGAGGTGGCTCAGCTGTGAGAAGAGTAGGTGATGCTAGCACACAGGAGTGCCGCTTCTCCTGTTCATTTAGGGTCTTAGCATCACAGTTTCAGGACAGTCTAAGGTAATTAGTCTACAGTGCACTTTAATAAACAGCACAATGTACAGTCATTAAAGAACATCCACCTTCAAGAGTTGTTAAATATGTGTTCTCTCAAGACATTGTATGAGCATAATAATCATGTTCCAAAATCAACCACCTGCTGACCTGCTTTCTTGCCAAGTCTCACACAGTACATTGTTAATTATAAAAGCCCATATACCAGTGAGCACATTATTTTCAGAAGTTACTATGACAAAGTACTTTTTAATATACTTTGTATAGTGTCTTAATTCTTTAATTTCCATAGTTTTAATATAATTTTGTCCTCACGTGTCTCTATGTAAAATTAATTCTATTCTACATCGATATTAAATCTCTCTTATTGTACATTTCAACTGTATTGAGTAAATGTATATGTATATGTATATGTATATGTATATGTATATGTATATGTATATGTATATGTATATGTATATGTATATGTATATGTATATGTATATGTATATGTATATGTATATGTATATGTATATGTATATGTATATGTATATGTATATGTAAAACCTAGAACAATGTTTTTTTTAATTCTCTGTTACTGTGACATGAAATGAAGAACCATGTCCTGATAATCTGAAACACTTTACATGTGTTTGGGTGTACTAGCAATCTCACAGGATCTCACAGCAAAATTGAATGCCTGTATTCCGTTTAGGGGAGTTATGTACTCATCTCACTGTAAGTCCTGCTTTTTTCCTTTGATGACTTTTTAATACTTAATTTTCTCTTCTTTTAAAAGGAAAATATTTACCTTTTTTTAATGTGTGAATTGTCTACTGGAAAGATGACAGCGTTATTAACAATGCATTGGCTTCCTTAAGAAAGCAAGCTTGTTAATCTGCAATTACCAGCTATAATATACTTACATCGCAGACTTATACAGAAACAATGCCAAAGCCATTTAGTGACAAAGATGCTTTTGGCATGAAAAAGGATAGAACAGGAGAGGTAAGTGTGATGCTCTGGGCTAAATGAGTTTATTGCCCACACCATATTGCATCCAAGATTGTAAACAGGAACCTATTTCCAAAATCAAACACTTGCCATTTTTATATTTCAATCTATCTTTAAAGGTACAGACACACTGTTTCCTTCTCCTTTCTCCACCTCAGTATTGCTTTTCAGCAAGTTAATTTGTCTGTGTTCAGGCTGAGTAAAATTCAACATGAAATCAAAATATGCTTTTCTGGACACAGAATTAAACATAAAAATTCACTGCAGTCCTGGGCAAGAAAACATAACTGCACACCTCTGGGAAGCTGAGATTCTCACGTTTTACCGGCTCAGACTTCTAATATGTGAGCTTTTTCAGGAGAGGAAACAATGACTTAGACCAGCACTGAATTTTGTAGTGATTTTTAATAGCAAAACAGTTTTTTTCAGATCATCTTATTCTCATTGCATGTTTACTATATCGCTGTTAATGTTACTGTTACATATTAAGCAAGTATTGTTAGCACGGTCTTTTGCTGTTAATGAGGAAAGAAGCATTCAGTTCAGAAGAAACTGTGAAAAACATTACCAAAGTCACATCTTGATTTTGGAAAACATTGGAATTGTTTCCTCTTGAAGAGCTGCCTTCATAACAGCTATAAATGCAACGACTGTGCTCACAAGTACTCAAAGTTAGCAAGATTAAAATTTCAAATTTCAATTAAAGATTGGATTTAAAGCCTCCAGTGAGCTCAAGATGAATACAATTCAAAAGTTTCACAGATAACCCTTCCACAACTCATATACAATGTCTTTTCCAAGCAGCATTACATTAATGTGGATTGCAGAGATTCTCAAGCAAAGTCTATGGTTCGTCTGCCTGTGTTTCAGCATGTGAAAAAGAAAAACTAAGACAACAGTAAGCAAATGCTTTAAAGTCAATGTGAGAGTCTGACTCAAAAAAAATCGAGGGAGAAATTTCATTCTGGTCAGGTAATCAGAACATAAAATGCATTTAACTGAACAAGAATGACCTTTATATTCTCAGTGTGACTGAACTAAGCAGTATACTCACACAGATGCAAAATGAGATATTTTTTACTTTCTGTCAGCATCACCCTAACAAACTGCTGCATGGTCCAGGGCATGGACCACGCAGCAACTGCCATCATGGGCCTGGGAGAGTATCAAAGAGCACTTGCTGCGCTGCACCAGCGATCAGGGAAGGACCGGGGAAGCAAACAGGCAGGGACCTGCTTTTCCAGGGGAGAATCCAGATCTCAGCCAATCCAGAAGATAAAAATTGCCATGAAATAGTATGTATCAAGACAATACTGATCTCTGCTGCATATCGCTTGATAGGATCAAGGAGCAAACTGGAGACTCTTCTAGTTCACTTATGTAGGACTGAGTAAGGTGGGTGCCCTCGCTCCTCAGTTCACTGTTCTGGGCTCACCTGCAGAGCAAGGGACAAACTGTTCAGACTCTGAAACTCTAGTAAAACACGTTTTTCTGCATTGCTCCTTTTTGTGTCCCACTGAAAGAAAAATACGGAATAAACTGTGTTGCAAAAGTAAATCCTTGTCTCCATGCCTGTTTCTGTAGCCGGATGCAATCCTACACAGTCCACACAATCCCATAAAGCTCATTAATTTTCTAGCAGTAAAGGCATCTATAACAGAGGTCCCAAGGTACTCGCACACATAAGAGAAAAAGGGGAACAAAAAGCAAAGAAACCACCTTATGCTTCTGAAAAGATTATGCCAACCAACCCCGAATAATAAAGAATAGAAGGGAAAAAAGAAGATGGGGCATTCCTACACGAAGTATCTGTGTCACAGTGCCTCTGTCATCTGTCCTCCCAGCCTGGGCATCTCTCACAACAGGCTTTGTGCTGGGCTGAGTCTAAAGGCACTGGGTAATCTTTAAAAATCAGCTTCAGGACACAAAATTAATGAAAAATCCTTCCCTCTCTTATCCTCAGCTATGCATGTTCCTCCTGATACTCAGCTGTGAATACATCCCAGTAGCTGACAAGGCTTTGTTTGCCTGTTCATAAGTGATTCTATAATCAATTAAACACACTTTTTAAAGTGTTTTTGTTCAACTAGCCTGAACTAATGGGAATGTTGTCCTGACTCAAATCAAAGGTTTTCTACAAAGTAAGAATTAAAAGGCACAAAACATCTGTTCATATTTACTCAGTCATATTTTTATTTGGAAATACATGCTCCTAGAATGTTTTATTACAATATTCCCCAGATAGAATGACATAAACAAATAAAATTAAATGTCTACTCCCGTTTTGCTACAATAAGCGAACAACAAACTAAACAGCTAAAAGCCAAAGTCAACACCTTCTACTATGACAAGTATGTTGCAATACTGGTTTCTCACAGGTCTTTGTTTGGATTAAATCTGAGGACATGGTATCCAATTAAATGCCCAACTGTTATAATGAGTTTGGACACATGACTGAATGTTTAAATAACGTATTAGCCTACAAAACTGACGGCAAGGTATTGGTAGCTTTCATGCACCACACCTAGATTCTGCAATATTACAGTGATGGACATCTTTGTTATATATCAGATGAATACAAAACAGACCATGGCCTGAAAGATTTGACTGTTTATATATGTGCTCGTATTGGTAGCTTTCATGCACCACACCTAGATTCTGCAATATTACAGTGATGGACATCTTTGTTATATATTAGATGAATACAAATAGACCATGGCCTGAAAGATTTGACTGTTTATGTATGTGCTCAGCTGTGGTCAGAGAAACAACTTTCCAATCTACTATTGTAAATTCAGCATTGTTTTGCAAGCAAAAATTGTTAATACAAAAACCTCTAAGTTGAAGAGGTAAATTTTGCTACAAATGTCCCAAAGCTGCTTTTTAAGGAAAGCCATCTTTCTGCATCCACCATTCTCCATTTGTCATTGTAATACTTTGCTCTCAGAAACTACCTGAAATTTTCACACGTACTAAGACATGAGCTTACCTTTTTTAAATAAAAATGTTCAAATGTCCCTTAAAGTTTGGTTTCCTCTTTAATACACATAAATGAATGTATTCAGGTATCAAAGTTTTTCTTGTCCATGCCGCAGAAACACCTGACTTGGCAAAAAACTATGACAAACAGTACCACAAGCAGTTAAAATAATTCACCTTTGTACACTGTTTTCACCAGCGGAAGCCAAAGCTCCTTAGGCAGAAGAAAAAACATGCCTAGACTGATTCTACAGCTGGAGAAGCCACGGCAGAGAAGGTAATGTGACTAAGCCACCATCTGCCTTGCAGGGAAACGTAGCTTCTCTGCTCCTGCCTTAGAGGAGCATTGGAGTCTCAGGGTTGCCAAGTCTTCCCATGCTGTGCCTGGAGCCTGCAGCCAGAGGTGATGGGATGTGCTGGCCCCCATGGCGGGACCTAGCACCTCTATAGCCCCTCCAAGCTCTCTTTTCAGGACTTCTCCCAACTTACTGCTTACCAGCTCGGTCCCTTCCTCTTCACATGACTCAGCATGGATGGGGCTTCCTCCAGCTTAGAAAGGTGAACCTTAACCAGGGAACACTGCAGTTCTCAGCTTTTGCACTCTAAGGTAAAATGCTGCCTAATGTCCCAAAACATCATAGTCAAGGTCTCAGCTACTGACCTAGCTAGAAAAGTGATGTCCTCACAAAGTACATCGTGTGCTAGGGCAACGGGAACCTACGATCTCCGGTTTCCCACCAGTCCTGCCAACACTGGTCAGAAGACTGACATTAGTAGACAGACATCTTTCCATCAGGCTGCTTCTGTCTTATCTGACTTTGGTGGTCTCGTGGGCCTGGTCAGAACTAGAAACCACAGGTGAGCAAATGCAGGTGAAATGCATAGCACGTGCCTTCCTCTAAAATGCCACATAGCCTTTAAAGATTGCTTGCTATTTCTCAAAGAAAAAAGAATAGAGATACAAATGTTCATAACTATGCACATTCGTCTTTTAATACAAAAACAAGAACAGGAAGATGGACTTTTGCTGCTGCAAGGAAAGGGCTGACATTTTCTTGTCTTAATGGATTGCCTTTTGAACGTTGCAGGGGATTCATAAAGGCACCACATCTTCCTCTTTGCTTTACATTAACGTCTTCACTATTACCTAGATGCAATACCTCGAGCTGCTGTTGTGAAAAAGCTGTAAAATGCAGATAATGTGGGAAGACTTAAAGCTATGCCAGAATTACAGTGTGTAGGCAGATCAATTCTGAATTCTTCCACATCTGTCAATGTCCATTATACAGATTTAACATATAATTTTAATTATAGACTTTATTTTTACAGATGCTATTACTTCAGGTTTAGACAATTGTGCTGATGCCGCTAAAAGGAAACCTGTAAAAATAGCTATTGATTTCCTATAATGTTTTAGAACATTTTTTAGTAGGGAAGCAACAGAAAACCCTGCGTTAGCAATAGAAAATGCTAACGCATTTGTTCCTGAGTGGAGATATTTTATGTGACTGTATCCCAGGTTATAAAATGAGTGTGAAAAAAAATTTCTCTCTTTAGATGTCCTCACTGTACAATAAAAAAGTTGGTTAGAGGGAACATAAGTATTAATTATATTTTTGCACTCTTTATCCTTTAAGAATTTTTAGCTTTAAGAAACCTGCTTTAACTACCAGACCTATATAAGCAATTTCACGATCATCCTCCTTTTTCTAATTTTAGAGCTACAATGTTTCATCATCTTCTATGTAGTGCCTACAGAAACTACATTTTCCTTCTTTGAATTCACTGGAATCCAAATATCACAGTAGGTGAAAGTAACATAGCAGTATTTATATCCCATATAATGCTGATGGATAAACTCTGAAGGGCAGTGCTGTAACCTCTGTTTTTTAATACCGGTTTAGCAATACTCTGCAATGACTTGTCAAGATAATTATTTCCTTGTTTTTTCTATACTCTTTGTTCTTTTCCCCTGAAACTGCACCGAAGCTGATTCACAAGCTTATTTTTAACAGTAAATAGAGTTGCTTACAATCTGTCTACCACACAGCCTTTTAAAATAAACATTTATAAAGCATTTTTGAGTCAGAAAACAAAGCGGATTTTGTCACCATCCATCTAGGAGCATCCACAGGCTTACAAATGGACATTCCAGCAAGTGGTCCAAAATGCAGTATTGTGGCACAGTAAATTGCAAATCCAATTGTAATATAAACATATAAAAATACGTTTAGTTGCATATGTTTATATGTAAATAGCTTAGTATGTTTAAATAGTAGCAAATATGCATAATAAACCTTTAACCTGACTTGAATGAGCAATGCCCCTTTCTAGCAAACACATGAAGTGGAGGTTGACAGAAAACAGCTACCCACAACTAACCCCAGTGCTGAACTGGAACTGAAAAGAGATTTAGATTTGACCATGAGCTTTGCCAGAGATTTTCTACGGGACTAAGGCAAGCAATGCTGTCTCTGAGACCCAGTGCAGGGAATGTAAGGTTTGCTACTAAGCGTGCATGCTGAGCCATCAAAGACTGGCAGAGAGCGAGAGAGAGAAGAGATTTACATTTTCTCAAGGCAAAAAAGTAGTCACTCGGTCAGTCAAATACAGGAGGTAGCAGGTATTCTAACAAAAAGAATTTGAAGAATTTGTGTCTCAAAGGAATTGCAACAATGAGCATTTTAATTAAAAAAAAAAAAGGGCTAGACTCCTGACCAAGAACAGAGTACGCTATTTTTTGTCTAGACCCCCCTCAGCGGATGAGTGCTCCCGTGCAGGAGGTTCCCTCCTTCTAGTTCTAATCAAAGGCATAATGTATGCAAAAAAAAAGAAAACCTGACCAGAGACAGCTTTCTGATTTAATCTCAGCATGGTCAAGCATGGGTTTTGTTTTATTTCTCATCTTCAATAAATATTTGCAACTATGCTGACTGTTTTGGACACTGCGACTAAATCCCACAGTGCAGAAACAGGAGCCCCAGGGGTTACAGAGCGTGTTTGTGTTTCCGATGCACAGGACAAGTGGAGAATTGATGTGGTGGGACCAAGAAGAAGCATATTCCAGTGACAAGCAAGACGGCTCTCTAGCCTGCAGTGAAACACGGGCTACGCACTTAGACCTGAGCATTTTCAGACTTGGTGAAAACTATTGTTTCATAAGCTATATACCTCTCAACTAGCATCTGTATATGCACCCGTACAGACACTTGTCTGAGCACCAAAAAGGGATACAATCGGTTAATCAAGTCCTGTATCAGTATTAGGAATGGGCCTGTTTGAACCTCATGAGGTTGAACAGGGCCAAGTGCAGGGTCCTGCAACAGGGTCGGGTCAACTAAATCAACACAGGCTGGGGGATGAAGGGATTGAGGGCAGCCCTGCTGAGAAGGACTTGGGGGTTCTGGGGGACGAAAAGCTGGCCATGAGCCAGCAACGTGCATTCACAGCCCAGAAGGCCAACTGCATCCTGGGCTGGATCCAAAGCAGTGGGGCCAGCAGGGCAAGGGAGGGGATTCTGCCCCTCTGCTTTACTGAGACCCCGCCTGGAGTCCTGCATCCAGCTCTGGAGCCCTCAGCACAGGAAAGACATGGACCTGCTGGAGCGGGTCCAGAGGAGGCCACCAAAATGATCAGAGGGATGGAACACCTCTCCTATGAGGACAGGCTGAGAGAGTTGGGGTGGTTCAGCGTAGACAAGAGAAGGCTCCAGGGAAACCTTACTGCAGCCTTTCAATATTTAAAGGGGGCTTATAAGAAAGATGGGGACAGACATTTTAGTAGGGCCTGAAGCAATAGGACAAGGGGTAACGGTTTAAGAGGGTAGATTCAGACTAAGATCTAAGGAAGAAATTTTTCACACTGAGGGTGGTGAAACACTGGCACAGGTTGCCCAGAGAGGTGGCAGATGCCCCATCCCTGGAAACATTCCAGGTCAGGTTGGACGGGGCTCTGAGTGACCTGATCTAGTTGAAGATGTCCCTGCTCACTGCAGGGGGGTCGGACTAGATGGCCTTTAAGGGTCCCTTCCAACTCAAAGGTTCCATGATTCTATGATTCATATGTGCTGCAAGCTGCATAGATCTTACACAGGAAAGCTGATTATTATTCTACCAGACTCAAAACAGCCTTAGGGTTAGGCAGTCATACTTCTAACAAAAGACTGTGCAGCACTTGCAGTATTTTGCATAATGTTGTGCCCACTTTTACAGAAACAGTTGACAAAACCCCAAATCCATTGACTTTGCCCCAGGTTCCCAGTTGTCTTACCACCCTGTCCAGGTTTCAGTTGCCGGCTGGGGCTAAATCACAAAACACCCCTTTGCCCTCCTACCTGGGACGGAGGATGCAAAAATATCAGCTATTTCAACAGATCTATTTCATTATGGCACAACCAGACCAAGTAACATGGAATGAGCTTTCACTGGTTAAAACTTTTGCAAGACCTATTTCAACTTTAGGCTGAAGTTTCCAGGTGCTGAAAAATTTCTTCAGGAAAAAAAGGTCAAGTTTCCTGCTTGGATAACACAGGATCATGTTTACAGAATTAAAAAGCGGGACTATAGTTATATCTACTTTTAACCACCTGCAAATTGGACTTTTCATATTTGCCATTTTCCACATAGTTGCAAAATTCAGAGTAATGCATGAAAGTCCAAGTATGAATACTTGCTTCATACAGATAGCATCCACTAATGCACAAATCTCCTGCAATGACATAATATTAAGCATTGCTCGTTAATCCGAATTTGCCTTTCTAGAAATAGCACATTATTCATTTGTATTATGTACAGTATGTGATAGTATCCCAAAAGGATTATTTACTACATACAAATTGAAAGAGTAGAAATCCACAATATTAGCTAAACTATCGTATCCACTGTATTTAGTAGTGACTTTGGAAAAATTGAATTTTAAATCATTTGATACTACGTTATTTGCAAAAGTAACCATGGCAAATGCTATATTGAGAAATATATCTTCACTAGAAATACGCTGGATGGAGAAATGTGTTAACAATCAGTGAAACTTTGGACAAAATAACAGTTCCATAGCAATTTGCCTTTGGAGCTAAATCAGATATATAATGAACCCAAATTTTCATTACTAACAAAAGCCAGAGGGTGAGTAGGTTCCACAGGAGAACACATAAAAATATTATTTCATGGTAAGTGCATAAAAAGCTAGTAAGCTACCAGGTTGGCGGGGCGAGGGAAGTACTATAATTGAAAAATGTTTTAATTTTTCCTATATATATGCTTTCTCTACTCAAGTTTTTTTTTTCCTTTATATTTAAATAAATTATCAATTTAATTATAAAAATAGTATATGGAAATATTCATTGCTATTCTTCGTCTAGCATATTTACATCTCTCTATTTAGAGAAAATAACTGTTTAACTAGCTGCCATATTCATTCAATACCACTAGAAGGTGCTCCTCTGTTGAAAGATAATTATTTCTGTCTGAATTTCTTCTGAAGGCCAATTTTCCTCTGATATCTGTGGTTCTGGCCAGCTATTTACACAGACTGTAACTGCAACAACCGCCCCTGCTATACAACAGCAGGACCTCATATGCCATAACCCTTACCACAGCGTAACAGTTCTGTAACCGCTCATCTTCTTGATAAATCTGAATCCCAGCTGAGCAGGACTCCAGTTAGTTTTGCGGCAAGGTGAGGCGTGGAAACCGTGGTGGAGCTGACACATTGTAAAGAGCCACAGTTTCTGTAAGGTTAGGAATCACAGAATCATTTAGGTTGGAAAAGACCTTTAAGATCATCAAGTCCAACCGCAAACCAAACACTGCCCAGTCCACCAAACCCATTCCTGGAGTAACTGAGGGCAGACCGCACCCCTAGAGAGACATTTGCATGCTTGTCTGAAGTCTGAAGGCAGAAGGAGAGCCCAACGTAAAAAAAAGCTGTAAGACAACCATACAAACATAAGCGTATGATCTACACGAATTCCACACCAACAGTATCAGGACATCAAACCGCATTTGGAAATCCAAGGATCAGTAATTCGTATTTCATACGCAACCTTATATGAGCCTCAACCACGTTAAGATTTGATTTGGTACCCAGAAAGGCATTCTGATACCCTCTGGGTACACACCGACTGCCTCTGTAAGCTCTTCGCATATACAATAAAAACCTTAACTGAGAGCTGAAATAATTGCAGTTTTTCTAATAAAAAACTTTAGCCTGCGCAATGTCGGAAGAGTTTTATGTTTTGTGTCATCTGTGATTGAGTAAGATTTTGGTGAGAAATGGGAAAGAGAAGGGGAAATGAGGATGGACTGACCAGCTAAGGCAAGATTCTGACTCTTCTAGCTGTAAACTTTGGACAAAGTCTAAAAGCGACCATTAAAGAAGGCAGTGTTTGGGCTTATTTTGAATGTCTGGATTTCATCTGCTCTTTTAGCTCAAACAGTTACTAGAAAGGACATTTTTCACTGGGAAAGGCTAAAGGAAGAAAGTCACCATGCAGTTCCAACAGTTTAAACCGTTAAAAACTAAGGTCAGGGCCCAGGGAGAAGCTTCCTACTGGTAAGGAGACATGCACGTGGCCGTTCCCAAATTTCAGTATCCCAAGGGAAGCAAGCACAGCCTAATCCTCCAGTGGAGCACTTCGCAGAGGCTGTTGCAAGAGGCAAGCTCACTAAGGTTAGAGGCTACTCAAATGGAGTTTGATTCACCTGGCAGGTCTGAATGACCAAAACTGAAATAATCAAAGGAGAAAGGAGCTCGTGAACTGTTCGGGATGAAAGCCTTTCCTACCCGCCTCTATATGTTAATATGGCAAAAAGCTGTTCCCTGGGAAGTCTGATGCTACTACAGAAAAGCATTCCGCCTCTAAATGTGCATCTGTGCAACTTTTAGATGGAAGATAATTTACATAGTTCAGGATCTAAGAGAAAGAGAAATAATAAAGACATGTCAATGATGCAGCTTTCAGGTCCAGAACGCTTTATGTGCAGTGTGACACTGCACAGCATCTTAATCTTCAGATAGCCAAAGAGCTCTCCATCTTGAGATTCTAGTGTCTTAACAAGGAACAGAGACAGAAAACAGTACATGGAATTTGTTTCCTTGAGGTTATAGGGCACTTTCTCAGTTTTGCTGCTGAACGTTTCCAGCTCTTTCAGAGAAAGGTCCCTTCCTTCTCAGAGTAAGGAATTCAAACCTCTTCAATGGAGTCTAAAATGTCTTCACTCATTTTGAAGTTGCATTTATTTTAGGAATATCTTGTTAGACTACATTCAGTACATCTTGTATGTATTGAAAAATAATGATAAATTTTGTCTTGAGGCATTTACAATAGTCCCAAAATATCCATTGAGGCTCCTCAAGAGGTCTAGTTATAAAGAAGTTCAATTTCAAATAATACGAATTATTCAGTCACAAAATGAATAGTGCCTTTCATAGTGCCAAAGACACCTAAGTGATGCTGA